GGCAATAAATTTAAATTTTTGCCAAATTGGGGAATTATTAACGTTACACGGCTTATTAGTTTTTAATTAAACGGTGGATCAATTTTTTAAAGTATTAAGTTGTTTATTAAATTAATCATACGTAAGATAGATGAACGAAAAAGAATATATAAATGTCATAAACTTATATTTAGACAACAGCTGACAGACAATGTAAGTTTAAATTTAAAATTTAATAGTTTATTTGGGTTTGTTTAATTATTTGATAAAACTGTACATAGTGAATCTCGATTTAGTAGACCTCGATTTAACAGATACTAATTAAACCTCGGCTTTACGGATAAAGTTTAAAGAACGGACGGGTCCCGATATAGCGGATAACTCCGTTTAACGGATTTTTGGAAAATTTCCCTAATTGCCCAAAGTATTTGCTAAATGGAGATTCACTGTTTATTTGAATATAACCAACTGTTATTTAATTTAAATTTGAGTTTTCCGGTCCCAATAAAATTTTGGAAATTAACAACACAGTTTTATTGTGTAGAAATGAAATTCTTTATCAGAGATGTTTTAATGGTATTTAATTACATACATGTGGGCCCTGGCATATTTTGCGGCAAGGATCACGAATTCTATTTATAATTAGTATAATTAAAAAAACGTCAACAAAGACGATAAATAGTAAATAAACAAACCTGTGGTCTAATTTAAGTGCGACACAAGTTAACCACGTAATGGTCCATAACATTGCATATAATAAACAATAATAATAACATAATGAAAACTTTATCTTTCTCAATTTACAGCGGTGCGAGTAAGAAATAAAAGAGGAATACAAAAACCACAAGTTAGTAGTCATTGTAAAAACAACAGGTATGAATTAGCAGACCTATTTACAAATCAAGTCTATACTCTTAATGATTATATCAATATACCATAAAACGCACCGGAAAACTCTACAGAAATATCTTTGATATGTAAGAGAATTGTGGGAGGAAAAGTTGTCAGTCAAAAGTAATTTCAAAAGCCCAAATTGGTTTAGGCAATTTGGGCCCCTGAATTTTTTTTTTTATATAAGATACAAAAACTAAATAAAAAAATTTCGCCTAACATTAGGGATGTCAACTCTCTCACTAGATACTTGCTAATACTAAGAGAGGTAGTTAGTTGCTTTAACAAGTTATTAAAACATGTATTAACTTAATTAATAATATTAAAATGTGTTTTGATCGCCTGTTACAGTATTTAATTAATTCTTGTCAAACAAATAAATACTTTACCCGAATTTGACAAAATATAAATAAACACAAAATTCATTTATAAAATTTTATAAAAAATAAACCAAATCTTTCCTTTCTTTTAATAAACATTTTCACATTTTATATATATATATAAATATATATACATCGTCACCTTTTAATCCGTCATAATAATCATTCATTAAATCGAAATAGACAGATTGATTGACTGGTTAACATTACATTCATTTAGTTATTTCAAATAGTTTTTTTTTGAGCAAAAATATGCGGTTTTTTGGTCAAAAAAAATGACATTATCATTATTATTTATCCCTAGAAACCGCAAAGTAGATTTTGATGTTGAAATAATAATAGAGGAACTTTTAAATGTTCCTTTAATATCAGGACTCTATTATGTAAAATGGAAATTGAAACATGGATCAAAATCAAATAAGATGACTCATAGGTATTATAATAACAAGTGATGATGATGACAATGATGATAATATAAGCAATAATAATAATGTTTCGTTATTACCAATATTATTTTAGAGCACCTGTTAAAGATCATTCAGTGCGTTGGCAGTATAAATTACAAGATAGAGTACAACTTGTTATAGGCAAAGATAATTTCTTATTACCCTGCGCGTTGTCTCTATCGATAAAACAGGTAATTTGATAAAGAATTTATAATTATAGTTATGGTGACTTGAAATATGCTGATTGATTTCGAATAATTAGGAGTTAAATGGTGGCAAAGAAATCAATAATATTGGAAGATTAAAAATCAATCTTTCTGAATATGTTGGGTCCACTGTAATAACCAGACACTATTTATTACAAGAAAGTAAGATTAACTCTACATTAAAGGTAAATAAATATTTTAAAAAAGTTTATTTATTTATTTATTTAAAAGGATTCGCTCATGTATATCTATATTTACACTATTATTATTATTATTATTATTATTATTTAGCTGTCAATTAATATGAAGAAAGTTTTTGGAGATTTTTTCTATAATGTGTATTTATCATTTATTGTTTAACATTGATTATTACCATTATTATCCTTTCTCTAAGAAAATTTAATTTATTTCAGACCTTCGTTAAAGAAAACTCAAATATATAGTGGTCTTACTGGAATTATATCAGATCGTGATGTAGAAGATGATGAAGTATCAAGTAATCTTATTTATTTGAAAATAATTTTTTATTTATATAATAATTTCATTTTTTTTACTTATGGTATATTCAATTTAAATGTTAATAGTTGTTGGATTAAGTTTTAATTTTGAAGAACATTACTTGGTAAAATCTAGATCAACATCTTCACTGGTAAGACCTTCAAATAAATATTAATTCAACTTTTTTAACCAATGACTGATTGATTTAATTAATAACCGACCAATTAAATTCTTTTGGAACCATGCAGAGATCTGCTTATTATGCACAAGCAAATCACACAACACCAATAACTTCATCATTGGCAGCAAATAATTTTCTTCTTAGTGTTGGTGGCAAATCCTCAACTGATGTTATTGAAGAAATATTTAAAGGAAATGATCCTAACAATGTTAAAGACGATGACATGCGTAGTATTTCAGGACATTCAGCATTTTTCTAATCAATATTTATATATTTTATAAATAGAATGTATAATAAACAAACTAGAAATATTATTATAAAAATCATACCACGTCTTCTTTTAACAAGACTCTGCAATAATTCCAGAGTCTTTAAAATAAATATTATTTATGTTGTTTTTATTATGGTACACTATATCTAAAACATGGAAATCTATTATTTCTAACTTTGTGAAAATTTTATTTATGATAATAAAATTTATCCATAATAAATATTTTCTATCGAATGTGAATTCGTTCATATTCATTTTTGGATAGAATTTAATAATAATAGTAATAATATGCTATATACTATAATATTATAATAATATAATAATAATATTTAGTCGCACCATTCATTTTCTTTACGAACTTGTTCTTCTTCTTCAGGTGTAAAATCATTCTCAATATTAAAAGTCCTCCTAATTTCTTCGGGTGATTTGCTTTTAATCATATTTGCAACAGTTTTACATGCAAGATCAAGAAGAGGCTTTATATCTAAATAATTTGCTGCCTATTGAACATATACAATAATGCCAATCGGTAAGTGAATAGTGTGTGTGTTATATATATAAATCAATCAATTGATTTATTTAAAAAAAAAAGCAATCACCAAAATCAATTCGAATAATGTTCCCTGATCTACTTTACAAAATTCAGCGTCCCAATCATCAATATCATCTGCTGTTGATGACCTCTTAGAATTGTCGTCCGTAGTTGTCATCAGTTCATCACGATGATGCGTACAATACTCAATTACTTTAGTTAAAATAGGTCCAGTAACATTCGGCAAAGGTATTGCTGTTGTTGTTGTTGTTGTTGTTGTTGTTATATTGTTATAGAAAAAGAAATATTAATAAAATATTTCGACTGGTTAATTTCAGCTAGCTAAACAATATTTTATATGTAATATTATTTACACACGAGATCTAAAATTCAGATATATATTATATATATAACTTACACATGTCTTTTTTCGCCAACATCATCAAGCATATTTTTTAATAAAATTGACTTTTCAGCTATGATTCTTTCAACTTTGAACTCTGTTCCTTCGGAAGAAGTTAATTTAACAAGTTTTTGTCCTACTGTCATTTTTTTAAATTCTTGAAAAGAATGACTGAATAAAAATGAATTAATATTATTAATATGTATATTTGGCTCACAATTTATATAATGCTCGATCATCAATTATTATTACTTTTTTTATGCAGTTGAAAATAGTAATAAAATTTTCACGCAGCAACAATTCCAACCCATTTTCCAGGAGAAACTCATAAATATTATGGAAACATATATTTCAATCAAATAAAAATTCCTCCAAACTCTACAAACAATGCTTGTTATTATCGTTTCCTCAGGGATTCGGAGGATATGAATATTTACGAGACAACTTCCACGGGTTACTTAGCAAAAGTTTAGCACCAAAAGGATCTGGAGGGAAAGTGTCAGATTTCAAACGCGCCAACGTTGCATCGTGGTTATTTGGTTGTTTTTAGGTGGTTGGTAGAAAGTGCAGATGCAATTGTTGATTTAGAAGATCAAACTGGTGAGGTAAGATAAAATATAAAGATAAATAAATTTATCTATTTATTGTACTCTTTATTGTACGTTATATATAATTTTATAGACTACGTTATTAAAAGCATCATATAATAGACATCTCTTGCAAAGAGATGCAGCTGTGTCACAAAAAGTTAATTATGGATGGACATCATTACATAATAAGGATATTTGCATATAGTAAAGTATTTGGTAGAATCTCCCAATGGTGTTAAAAAGACTAGCTCTTGATTCATGGATTACATTTAACCAACATATAGAGTTTTAAATAATATTCTCTTTTTAACCAGATGGAACATGGAAAATTTTTAAAGATGTAATTTCTTCTATGAGCGAGAATTTAACTTTATCATCATCTTCTTCTTCTTCGACCACTTTTCCAAAAAACCTCCAACGGGAAAAATTCTTAAAATTAAACCTTACCCTAATCAGAAGAAAAAACAATATTAGATACACCAAGCCGCAATTTAATCATTGAGTTAACAGTGTGATAGATCAAATAAGGAAATACACAGGATGGAAAAAAAATTATATCACTAATATAAAGACACTAGCCTTAAATGTGGCTTTACACATTAGGGATGCAGCAATGATTGTCCTTTTTAAAAAATTATAAGTCAAATATTGCTTTAAAAAAAGGAAAAACTTTAAATTGAATTCTGATCCAAAAAAAGGATAAATTACCATTCTATCAAGAAAATGGGAAAGAAACCGCGGTCATTATTAAATATTGAAACATTTGAAATAAATTATGACCTTCGTCTCATTAGTGATCGATCCGTGGTAAAAAAAATCCCGTCATATAATAGCTTTTTTAAAAGGCTAGCGGATTGCGGATGAAATTTATTATTACTAATACAAAAATTAATCGGTAATTGAATTCTTAATACTGGTATAATACCCGGATGATAAATAATGCTAATACTTGTTTAGATATGAAATTCGATCATATGCGGAAGCATCCTTACTTCGTAAGACCCACACAGAAAATCATGGAAATTTACATTTGTGTTAACGCATTATTTGAGACCGCGCCGGTCACAATAAATAAATATAAATATAAACCAAACTCGATAAATTATCTCGTGGTACATCAACCCTTACACTTTGATGCTAAATTTCGAACAATGTGGTATATGGTGCACGGAAAATAGAAACAGCCCTAACCGCAAAATCTCAATTTTGGATTAATAACATTCTTATATGTAATTTTTTACAAAGGGTTGATTTTAGCTTAGGAACTATACCTACTTTGATTAGTAAAGTTGAGATATTTAAAGGAAGATAGCAAATCATATAAGAACCAAAAAATCAGGGCTTTACTAAAATAAGCAATGATAGATGCAAACCCAGGTATTTGGTTTAAAATAATCATTTAGGAGATGATCGGTAATAGTTGCAACACATGTTTTATATACAGACTGGCTCGTCACCTGACTTTAACTCAATTGTATGCCACCAAAATCAATTGTACAACAATATCAACAATATATTCTAATCCCTCGCCTTCTATTTTATGGATTGTAAAAGTAATTCAGTAAAAGGTGAATTAATTCAGACATTAGCTATAAAAGTCTTTTTGGATTTGGCGAATCATATGTTCACTGAAAATAATAAACTTAAATTAAATCATTTAACAACGGTTAGGGACCATAAATAATACTAATAGAAAGCCCATGTTCTCTTAATATTCTGGTTAGTGATTTGAATAAGTAAAATGTTTATTTAAATTATTCTTTTATATTTGTTAGAAGGTACATTTATAAACGTTAATCATAATTCTTATAGTTCTACATCATGTCATGTAAAGGATTACTGAACCAAAAGAAGACATGAGTTGGTTATAATATTTAATATTTAATATATTCAATAGAGAAGAATTATGTAATGATTTAATATATCACAAGTAGTGAGTAAATGATACATTCATCATATAGGATATGCTGCCTCAAACCATAGGCGTACTTTATTACATTGTAATTATAGCAAGGGTTTTCATCCCCTAATTTTTTCACTGAATTATTATTTATCACCAATTACAAAGCAATATTAAAAAATCTTAACAATGATTGACATATTATAAAAATTATCCAATCAATTTCTTTATGGATCAACCAATCACCGCTATGTTATCATTTATATTATTTATATTAATATATATTGTTATTATTTTGTTTGGAAAACTTATAACTGAATTTTTCGGTCAAAATCTCTTTTTTGATTATCTCAAAATCATGATTTTGCAGTTAAAGCTGTTTCTATTTTTCATGACCCATATTGTTTTTCTTCCTAAGTATGATACAAATAACTTTTTTTCATTAATTACAATATGGCCTCCACCTCTAAACAATTAATCATGAAAAATATCCTAGTCCTATTTATGAACACATTACTTCATATTTAAAAGATAACAAAAAACAAATCTTACTATAGTTTTTTGCTTCATTATCAAAACGAAATCGTTTCTACCAAGGTTGGCAAATTGACTGGTCCATTTCCATTAATAAAATACTGAATATGGTTAAAGCATTATATTAATGAACCCAATGGACCACCAATAGACCATCAATGGACTGCACATTTGCCAACCCTGGTTTCTACCATCCGTCATTAAAAAAAACACGTGATTAATCCTAATCTCATTCCAGATACTAAAATATTAGAGTTCCATTCTAAGGTTTGGGACACACGGCAAAACCTCAAAGATGAATTTCTTAAAGTTTTAGATTATGCTGAATATCTTGAAAAGGAATTGATTCGAATTCAGGATTCAGCTTGAAGCTCTTTAGCATATTTTCGCAAATGTGACATTCTGGCTTGCACTTCATTTTCTGGCACTGACGAAGTAGACTGATTATTTAAAATAGAATGATGTATGGTTTTCGATTCCGATAGATCTCCACCTTTAGATAATTCCGCACTAGAATTGTCCTTTTTTTTTCTGCTAGTCTTTTTTGTCTGCTTATCTGAGGTAACAATAGAGTTTACTTGCATAACGTTTTCATCCATGCCAATGTTTAGTAAATGAGATGAATCAGGAAACCGATCTACTGTATTTGATAAGCTGTGGTCCCCATTCTGTTGAGAACGCTCGCTATTTTTCCATATATCCTCAACACGATTTTCATTAATATGGAAATTCCTTACTAGCACATATTTAGGAACCTTATTTTTGGATTTCCTAATCTCTTCGATTTGCTCAGGTGTTAAAATAGTAGCACCTCGGCGATAATAAGTTTTTAGATGTGGAGTGGACATTGTTCAAAGATGTTTTTTTTTTTCGAATTGGGTCGAAGATTATTACTTTACTTAATAAAAGATAATAAATATCGAAATTTAATATTTTACATGGATAAATAACGTTAAAAATCAAAGTTTACCATCTACTACTGTTAAATAACGTTAAAAATCAAAGGTTACCATTTGCTATCGTTAAATAACGTTAAAAATCAAAATTAATTCAATTTTTTGTTAAACATATTCTCTTTAATTATGTGGCACCAATACATACCTTAAATAGTGGATCTACTGTTGCCGAAAATTTTCAAGGGCGTGGATATAAATTAGATAGCACTAGAGAACGTGAGCTTGAATCTGAACGTAATGAGTTACTCATTAAAACCGAATTTTTTGCTAATAAATGTTCTGATTTTAGAAATGCCAAAGTGCTTGCAGAAACACGATCAGATGAACTTGCAAAAGAGTTGAAATCAAAAAATGAAAAAATTTTACGTCTCCGGAAAAAATTAAATCGAATCACCGATGCCAAAACACGAAATGACTCAAATATGAAACAACTCAAAGAAGAAATCAAACAGTTACAGAGCAAAAATACTAATCTTGTATCCCAGGGTGCTCTTAAAGAACTTTCTCTTACTGGCTATCAAACCAAGTATTACAAAAAAATGGAAGAGGCGAATTCTTTCCAATCTAGAATAAAGTCATTGGAAGAGAAATTATTTTCAGCTCAGAAGGACTCATCTCTGAAAGCTTCCGGGATCGATTCTCTCAAGTCCAAAATAACTGAATTGGAGCGCATGAAAGATGAATTATCCTTAAAAGTTAGTGAGCTTGAACATCTAAAATCGGAGGATATATCAGAACCCATAGTTGGTGGAGATAATGAAAAAAATACGCAGAGCGATGAACAAAGTTCCATAACCAAGTCTGATGATATATCTGCAGTTCTTGAACCTAGCAAAAACATCAGTCGATATTTTCTATGTGGAAAAAATATGGATCAAGCTGGAAAAATCGATACCATGTGTCTTGAGTCGAAGACTCGTGGCTTTGCCACTGACACTAGCTCTGCTATTATACCAGATAACACTGATAATGAAAGAACTTCTATACCTGAGGAATCAGTAATTTGAGGCTATGCCTCATCTCCAAGAGTAGATACAGAGATTATTCCCGAGGTAAGTGACGAAATCGATATTAGCAAAACTAACAACAATACACTTCAGGAAATACCGAATATGACTCCTTACCTTGCACAGCCGGAAAATAATATGTCCTCTTTGATTGAATCGAATACCCAGATGGGACCTGGTCCCGAGGCTTTGCCTCTTTCTGCTGTGGCAAGCACTTTGATGTCACCACTATCAGCATATATTTTTCTTATTTTGTTGATTATCGTGGTTATGTGGTTCGTGGTATTGAGACGTACATGGAGATTGAAGAGGAAAAGTGAGCAGATGCAGGATGTGTGGGCTGGATAACTGTGACTATCTATTTGAACTTGGATGTTTTTTATATAACATTACTTTTTGGCAGAAATTTATCTGGGTGATTGTAGCTCGTTTAATTGCTCATCCTCAGAATCATTTTCGAAGTATGAAGGCGGACATTCACATTCGCCCCATATGTCATATGGAATATTTGAAACATCTTTTCCTTCTAATAAGCTTATAATTTCAACCAATGTAAACGCATTAGAATCCATGAATCCTTGTAGTAGTGCTTCCGGATTCTTTATATCTGGTAAACTATATATGAATTTTTGCAAAGTTTTCTCTCTCCATTGCCTAACCTCTTTTTCATTCCAATGATCTTTGATCATGTCAAATACAGTTAACCAATTCCAATAGGTGAAATAGTAACTCTCCCATTCTTTTCTCCATCCATATTCCTCGACAAATTCACAAAATTCCTCCGCTTCATATTCAGACACATGATAATGATAGTTTAACATTCTATAAAAGCTATCGTCATACATTGTTAATTATTTGTAAATATATAGCGAAAAAAATCTGATATATGAGTAAGGTAAATTAAGTGATCGGTTGCGGGATAACCAAAATTACTGGAAAAAAGAGCGCGAGAGCATGAATGAAGTCGCTTTCTTGGAATATAAACGCAACTTCGAGGCTAAAATGAAGGTCCCTACTACTCCATACAAAAAAGAATTAAAAAATCGATCTTTAGCTCTTATCGAATATATATAACCTAGCTAAATAGTAATTTCTGAAGCAGAGAAATTGCTACGTCCGGCTAGTTATTCATCTCAGGTAGGGGGTTTTTTGTCGCCTCTACAATTAATATAAGAAAAAATTCAAATAAAAAATTAATATTCTGATACCTGGATCATATAAAGGGGTTTTTGTGTTGTGTAATTTCACGTAAGTACTTTTGATATAATGTAAGGTAATTTATCCAATAACCATTTTTGGGTTGCGTATTTTTGATCAAGGTAAAATTATGCTTTGGGTGTCTACCAAATATATATTATAAAATTATGCTTTGAGTGTCTACCAAATATATATTATAAAATTATGCTTTGGACGTCTACCATATAAAGATATCAACTACACGAGAAATGGTTCAAAAAATATGAAACATAGCTGGTATTCGGTAGCATGTCAAGGTAAAATTATTACAGATATATATAATGCTTTGGATATAAAAATTGGTAGTATTTTTAACATGAAGTGATAGTATTCAAAAGTATCAACTATGCAAGAAAGATTTCTAGGATCGTAAAACATAGTATACTGCCGGTAGTCACCCAAAGTAAAATTATTATAGAAAGATATATATTATAAAAATTATGCTTTGGACGTCTACCAAATAACTGCTAACAATTTGGCACTACGTGCCTCATTATCGAATGCTTTGGTGTATTACCAGATATGCTAACAATTTGGCACTGCGTGCCTCATCATTGGATGCTTTGGTATATTACCAGATATGATAACAATTCGGCACTATGTGCCTCATCATCGGATGCTTTGGTATATTACCAGATATGCTAACAATTCGGCACTACATGCCTCAACTCTGGCCCTAATCGAGAAATTAATCAGAAAGCTAAGGCACTACGTGCCAGGTTCAGGCATAGCCCTCACATCGGGCCCACAAATGATGATATATGGCTGAATGCATCGTCAGATATATTTTTTACCCATGTAGCCTAATAGTAGAAATCGGCCACAATCATCAAACCAGCATACGAATGATGAGGCAAAAGCAAAATGCATGCCACACTGGCACATGTCTCAGTAGCTCTTAAATGGCAATATAAATGCGATCTACATATCATCAAATCATTAAAAGGAAGCAAATAACAAGCTTATTAGAGGTCAAAATGAGTAGCTATAAAATAAGTAAGTAGCAGTCTAATCATAAGTAGGTAACAGTCTAACGTAAGTAGGTCACAATATATATATATTGCGACCTACTTAACTTGCATATTAGTTAAATAACTGCTCAGCAAAGTTCAAATGATCAGCATGTTATTTAACTAATTAACAATTCAAAAGTTCAAATCGTTCAAAAAAAGATTTGAACCAGTTAAATTGCCAACACTGAATTTGACCCAGCTGCAGCAGTCACCTGTTTGTCAAAATAGGGTCCCGAAACGGGTCATCCTGCAAGTTTTAATCAAAAGAATTTTATCTGTGTAACGCAATCCCGCACTAAATTTCATGTGTATAGTAATAGTAATATTAAAGATAAAAGTTCCAGTTGGAGCAACACTTGATGTTTTTAGTTATATGAGGATGCATATTTAATACTTGATTAGTTAAATAAATATAAAAATTTTTTTTAATAATTAATTGATAATCTACCATTGTTTTATAAATTAACATCCAGATACAATATTGTCTTAATGCAGCAGCAGCAAAAATGATACTAGTGGTGATAATGTTGATGGATCAAACAGTAGTAGCAAAATATCTAGTATAACATTAGCAACTTTAATAGAGGAGAAAGTGGTATTGATTGAACCAAATAAATTTAATGAATGATAAAAATGAAAATATATATCTATATTATAATCTACATTGTTATAATAACAATAATAGTTTTTTTAAACCTTAATATAATCATCTATGCATTTATTAAAATCCTAAAAATCAAAATTATTATTTTTTTTTAATTAAAAATGTTTTTGAAAATAACAATATTATTTATCACATAGTCAATATTATTACCGTATTTTGCTTGAGTTTCCCTCTTTGTTTTTTTATTAGTTGCAAATTGTTCCTTTAAATCATTTTCCATTGAAGTTGCTTGATATGCCAAATACATTAAATTGTGTTTTCTTTTTTGTACCTTACTTGGCTTCAAATTCTATAATAATAGAATATATTTTAATAAAAATAATATATTATTTAAAAGACAATGATGTTAATTAA